AAGAGAGCATGGTGAACCAAAGTTTCATTGAACAAAGATGTAAAGGGAAAAGGTACAATGCGACTGATATTTGTGTCGAAAAAGACCCCCAAATGGACTAGATATTGATTGGGTAGACTTCTCTAATTTGATCAACCAGCTCACACCTGAAACACCACAGAAAAAGAGTTGGTGAATATGAGTGGCCAATTCCTGCTCGAAATGAGCTAGAAAGAGCCAGTCGTCCATGTAATAATGAAATCGCATCCCCAGAGCATGGAGATAACATGCAATAGCTCAGACTATGCGACAAAACACACAGGAAGCCAAGATAAGTCCAAAGGGGAGTGCCCAAAATTGGTAAAACTCCCCAAAATGGATAAGCTGAAGGTAAAGTCATGATTGATGTGCTATTGAGGTGTGGAGGTAAGCATTGGAGACATCTATCTTTGTCATCCACAATCCTGGGGAAAACGCCTATTTCAGGGTGAGAAAGGACTCTATGGTGAACTTGGGGAGTATGATGAAGTGGTTGAGACGAGATAAATTGATGACTGGACACCAATCCCTGGTATTTTTGGGGTCAATGAAAACATGAGAATAAAAAAATCCAGAAGGATGGTGAACCAGTTTGATTGCCCGCAGCAAAAGCAATTCTCGAACTGCTTCTGGCAGCACTGGTAGGTCATGGGATCTCGAAAAGAAGGGAAGGAAACGAGACAAGGAGAAATGGGAGGTGGGAAAAGAAACTGGATAACAAATCCATCTGATAAAATCTGTATTACCCACTGATCATCTATGAAGAGATGCCAGCAAGGAAGAAACTCTAATAGTCGAGCTCCCCCCAAACCCGAATCCACAGAGTAGTCACTGGTACTGTTGGTGAAAGGGGTTGTATCATCGAGGAAATCGATTAGAAGGAATGGATAAGGGTTGGGTGAATGAAGGACAGGAAACAGGAATAGGTGGTATATGAGACTCTGATGGGCTATAAAAGTCTTAAGGGTTGATTGCTAGCAGATTGATGTCACCCGAGGCTTGATAGTTTCTGGGACTGTATCAATGATGTAATGTCTCAGAAAAGGTGCCAGACATAACTCCCTGAGATAGGATGAGGGTAAATTGACCAGAGCCAAAACTGCATCCCGACTATAAGGTCCCAACAACAAAGAAACCACAATGTAATGACAGAGCCAAAGAAGAAATGCAGACTAAAGTGGAGGAGAGAAGTATATGGGTATCTGCAAAAAAAACCTCAGGATTTTGTGGAGAGCCTCTGATAGGAGATGTATAGAATAAAGATACTGTAAGAGGTTGGTTAGGGTAAGACATAGGCAACAATATTGGGCATTAAATTCGGGAGCCCTCCCCCAAACAAGTAATAATGAACCTGACGACTGCTGATCTAAAAACGGATAGTCCGCATGATGGTACAAAAGGGTGGACTGATAAAAAATCCGTCGGGGGGGGGGGGCGACATGCTGAACCCCATACTTAATTGTGAGACAAATTGATCTGCATGTACCCAAATATCAAGGAAGGGAGGTAACACCAAAAATTGTTGGGGAAAAGAAGGAAGTGATACAAAATAAAGTCAAAAGGAACCACTTCATGTGAAAAAAAATCTGTTTGTCAAACTGGAAGCACCAGGCACACAAATGAGTATGTCTTAATTGAAATACTGCCAAACAAGAAGTGAAGGTTTAGTACAAGAGTGTAGAGGGAGTCACATGCATTATGTGAGCATATCATGCTACTATTGGTTAAGAGATGAAGCATGATGGTTTACGTGAGACATGTTGGAATATAGTAATTCCAACAGGAGGGGTGGAGCAGAAAGCTTGTGGCATGCATAAAGAAAAGGTTCACATACAGAGGGCAGCACTGAATGAGAATAGCTAATCGTGTGAGAGAATGCAAGTATCGTATCGGAAATGTAAAAAATAGAAAGTTATTAGGTAAGATAATAAAAGAAAAATAATAATAATCTTCATAGGGTATTTACGGCAGCAGCTTGTACATTACACTATATGATACAGTAACATGATCTACACATGTGCCATGTAATTTTCAACTTCTGTAAGGGTATTTTTTAGTCAGAAACACATCAATGGTAAATAAAACAAAAATTAAATAAATAGAAATAGATGTATACTGCTTCGAGACATTTTTGGTTTCCTGTTACAATTTCCAGGTAATTTAGATTTTTTTCATAATTTTTATGATGGTTATGAGGTCAGTCAAATCAACTAACACCATATAGAGCTAGCATTGATAAAATAACAGATTAAATATAAAGTTTTATTTAAGAAAACATTTGATGATTACCTAGAAAGATATACAGATTATGCAAATGGAACAACAGTTTTCAGATAAAGTATTTTTAACCCCCGCATGACTTTGGAAACGTGACATATGATGCCAGAAACAAGTTTCTAAGCGACCTTTATTTATTATGTATTTTTTAATATGTTAACATTTTAAAGTAGATTTTTATCAAAATGTGATCAGGAATGTATACACACACACACATAAATATATATAAACAATAATATAGACTGCATACCTAAGTAGAAGACAAATCCTCCTTATGGTTAAGAAAACATAAGCCTGGCTTTTCTGGACAGCCTATGCAACATTTCTTTCTGTCCTTCCTTTTAGGATAGTAAATGCAACACCGTTTCATTGGGCATGTCACTGAACTGCCAGGGAACTGAGGGATATTGACCAATTTCATCCTGAGGGAGGGTTGTTTGCCACATATTTTTTGATTATCTCACTGCCCTTGGGAATATGTTTTATCAAAAGCTCTTCCACAAGCTTTACAATTTAACATTTGAATTTCATTCTTTTATCAACTACATTTCTATACACAAGGTAGCTATTCAGCATCATCCTCAAAAGCAAGTGAAGGCCTAACCTTTTGAACCATGCATGCGATTTCTGACTTGGGTAATACAGTTCTAACAGCAAGTATGTCATATTTACTCCTCCCATGTTCTCATTATATTTTCTATATGATATGGCTTCTGGTTACCTTTATGGATTCCTCCAAAATAGGTTTTATATTTTTCTACAATTCCAGCTGCATATTTTCTTGTCCTCCCATTTTACCATTAAGAATTGTCTTTCCTTCCTCATAGCGTTGTAGGAGTTCTTCATTGAACTCCTTGGGTAGACCCCTGTTTGGGCAGATAGTTGCTATCATCACTGTTATTTGAGAATCCAAAGAAAAAGCCAAATGTGGACTTGCGTACCAGTTATCTACAATGATGTGACGTCCTTGGTCCAGAAAAGACTGTGCCAAATAAAAAACTATTCGTTCACTGGAGGAAAACTGGTTAGCATCAGGAATGTCTAACTGAGTGGACTGGTCTTTTCCATAGTAAACACTAAAGTTATAGTTGTAACCATTCCATTCTTTTTCACTGTTGCACATAACAAACAGATTTAACAAACCTTGCTCCTTTGGTTTTTATAAAGTGACCAAAGAAAATCATCCCACCACAGCACCAAGGCTTTATCAATGGAAATATGATCACCTGCATCAACATTTTTCATAGAATTAGCAGTCAACATGTCACACAATTCATCTAAGCATATAGAAGGAGCATTTTTCTTTATGTCACTAACCATACTAAACTGCAAACATTTCATTAATGGACAAGTATCTGTCTCTCCTCATAATCGTTGCACACCTGGTTCAAATGGCTTTCTAGTCCAGTACTGGTTCATTTCACTATATTTACAAATTCCTGTATAAAAATATAAAGCTAAAAAGGTGTAGATGTCACTTTCATTGATGTCTTTCCACCGTATACTATTTATAATACTCTTTTTTTGTGTGTATGTGTGTGGATTTGCATCAAAAAAAGATTTAGCTTTATCATTCACACAGGATACAATATGGCTTATAACATCAGGTGTCATAAAATTCCTGAAGCAATCAAGAACACTCATGTTTTCACAGAAGCCTACAGCAGGGTTGACTCCTGAAAAGCTATGCAATAATTTTGGCTCCGAACTTAGTCTTTTATCATCAAAAAATGTTAGGTACACGAGTCCAACCAGCAGACATTTACAAGAGCTTAATTTCATCAGCACTAAATGACTCATTTTCACCATCAAAACTTTCATCAGTTTCGTTTTCTAAGTCAATTTCATCCACAATATATTCAATTCTGCTATTACTAGTACTTATTTCAATATAAGATATTTTGACGTCTATACAGCAAGAAAAATGACCAAAAAAAAAGCATGATTCCCCTCACTCTTCAAAACCATCTAAAAACTAATTTCACCAGGAGTGGTACCCTGGGTATTAGTCTCCGCCTCTCGAGACTAACCATTGGCTAATTTGCTATGACATTATTACTATTTATAGCCAATATTTCAAAAACTCAAGTTATGATGCTGTAGCTCACTTCAGAAAAAATACAACTGTAAATAAGTGATAGTTCATGACGAACAGGTGTTCATAATTGTCACAGATGATTGGTTAATCTTAAAATCTTAATAAATTCATTTAAAAAGCTGATATTTTGTGTATGAAAGCCTTGTAATGTTTACTAATAATCTGCAACATTTTGTAAAGATACATTATAAATAATTATAGTATAATTACTCTCACGGATACTTACACGGTTATGAACCGCATGGATCCCACCCAGCCCATATTGGTAGGGTTCAACCAGATAAAAATATAAGATTTTTGAAAAAAGGATTCACTCATTGAGACTAATTCTGTAAAGAGCAAGTGAGTTTACATTTTCTTCATAACACTTAGCTGTTTGCTTTGTTTCTGCATAACAGTGTTTGGAAATGTACATCAGTTAATTGCTTACTACAGTTTGATATTCCTTAAACAATCTAATCATTTCTAAATCATTCAACATTTATCATTTTATTTTTTGCATAACGACTTACAATAGTGCCAACCAAATGACCAAGTTTATTGTATTCATATCTACTAGCAGCCTTGACAACAGTACTGAAAAAACAAAACAAAAAAACTATCTTACCTAGACTTCAGTCTCTGAAGAAATTTGGGAGAAGAAAGACCAACCATATGATCTGGAAGACAAAAAAATCACTTAAGAGATAGTTATATAAATCAGTAAGGCCATTCTATTAATTCACCATTATATGAAACATTTTGTCCTTGTAATTGCTAACAATTACCTCAGAATGCTCAGAGGTAACTGGTAATACCATTGTACAATAAAAGTATGCAATACTCTTGTTCTTCAAAATTTACTTTTTGTTTTCAATCAGAAGTACAGTACCTACACAAAGCATTGCCTCCTTGGACATGACTGGACACATCATTGTTGCCACAAACATTTCAAATAACTTCATATCTACAATTCTTTATGACCACATGGTTATGGAATTGGCCTAGAAATTTTGCATTAGAAAGCTTACCATAAAAACTGATGACATTGCAGTGTTACATTTTCTTGATAAACAGAGTATAGAAGCTGAAGAGAGTTCTGTCCAGTCTTCTTAATGTCAAAGTGAAGAAACTGAACTAAGCCATGGTAAATGATAGGAGTAATTATGACACACTTCAGGAGATGGGTAAGTCTAGTAAGCCACAAATCTTCACTTTATGGAAGGAGTTGTGACATAAAGACCCTAATTATCCCTACAGACTGTAGCATAAGTGGGCAGGGTGTAACCAAAATGCTCACAGTAATGTTAAAACTCACAGTTTTTAAAAACAATGATTATTTTATATATAATTCTAAAAATGACATTATTTCCAGTATCAAAGTTACAATAAAATAGGAACAACTTAAAGTACAGAACAAAAAGTGGTAAAAAGCCGATGAGACTGGAAAACAGTCTCACACACTCTACGTATTTTGATGTATATCACTTATTTAATAATTTAAATTTACATTTAATTATCTCAATAGATTCACATATATTCATACTAATTAAATTTCTGGGTTGTGCTAAAATAACAGTTTTTTCCCATTGAACTGTGTGTTTAGTTTCACTAATATGTTCTGCTGAAGGTGAAATGGTAATATTATTGATTTTAACATTTAATTTGTGTTCATTCATTCAGAATTTTAAATTTCCTCTGGTTTGTCCTATACTAACTTTTTTTACACTCACAAAGATTTTTATATATACACATATATATATATATATATATATATATATAT